CAGGGTTCATACACTTTCTCATGAGTTAATTTCCATGATTTTCCATGACTTTTCTAGCCAGAATTCCATGACTTTTCCATGACTTTTGAACCGTTTTACATGAGAGATTTAAAATGTTGATCTCATAGCAAAGCGAAATTATGGTATAAAGAGTGTGCAATAAAATAATCTTCATCTTATTATATATTATTATTTGAACAGTTGTAATTACAGCGACAGTAACATCTCCCAATTACATGCAGTAATACTGTACAGAAGCCAAAATTATTAGTACTCACTGTGAAATATTCATTTAAAAGTTCAAAAGTTTACCGTAATTTTGTCACACTGCTGGTGCGGATGCAGGATTCTGTGTACTGTAGGTGGTGCGTGAGAGTCAACACTACCTCAGCCCCCCTCCCCCCATGGTTGGGGCAGAGAGGATAAAATTTTGAGAAAATGGGCCTCAACTATACAGTAAGTGCCCAGAAATTGCATTCTCATACCTGTATAGACCTAATGTTCATATCAACAATACAAGAATTATTTTTCTTTCGATACAATTTTAAGGGGGTGCGACTGCATCGTCTGCACTCCTGCATCCGCCCCAGCACTGTATAGAGTTTTCTGTGATAAATATCAATAAGCACGATGATGCCATCAATTCTACTGTACAGCACTCCCAATGTATGGTAACAAATGATTGTACTTATTTACTGTACAAAGTTATCAATTTTTGCTTTAGTTAAGTAAGATCATTATTTGTTTTTGGAATGCAAAGAATATTTGTAAAGTAATATCTTCTGTTACTTGATTGTATTGTATTATGTAATGTTATATTAAGTTTGCTAAGTTTTGTTCTTGACTTGATTTAACTCGCCCAATGATCTATGGTAATAATATTTTTTGAGTAACTTACCTTAGACATTAGCTCTGGAAGACACCGTTCTCTATTTATAAGGTCGTGCTTAACCCATTTCATAACAGCTTTGTATACTTGCATTTCATTCTCAACATTCAAATCAGACGATTCAATTACTGTTAGAAAATGTTCAAAACTAATATTCAAAAAATCCTCCTGTCGCACAATATCACAAAAAAATTCATGCGTAAATTTATCTGCAGACTTAACAAGTTCGGATCGACCATGAAGCTCAGCAAAATTACGTACACCGAGACAGTTACTCGGGTGAAGATGCGTGCGCATAAAATCGCAGCACGCTTTTGTTACGACCTCAAGTTGCAGGATACTCGCAACGTACAAGAGTTTCTGCACATTGTCAATAGTCAAAACAAGTTTTGCTGTGTACATAAAGTTGATTACATTTTCCATGGCGTCTTCGTCTAAATCCCTAATGGTTATCGTATCCTGCCTACTCTCCGCCATGTCAGAGGTTAACATGGCTTTAAAATATGGACTGCAACATGCAAGAACGAGTCTGTGGCAGTGTATTCGTTTGTTTCCGACGAGTAACGTGATATCACATAGTTTACGATCTAAATACAAGTCTTGTAGGATGCTGAACGACTCTTTCCAATGTGTGTGGCTCTCAAACGTAGTCATGGATCGTGGAGATATTTGGATTCTTTGTACAATTGGAATAATCGAATCGGTGGCCTCCATGTTTCGGCTCTTTCTACTTGTCCCAGAAATCTCAATAATTACAGTTGACTTTTTCTCAAATGGCCTGTTAAAAAAAAAAAATAGTGATACTTTTTTAAAACATCCTGTATACAGAGCAGACCTCAAGAAAGTTTATAGTTAAGGTACAAAAAAACGAACATAAAGAAAGATCTGTATTTAAAAACAAGTTTTGAACTCGCATTGTTATTATTAATAATTTTTGAAAGAAGGTGAGAATTAAAAACAAAACAGGAAACTTATCAATATTATATGTCAATAACAATAGGCTACTATACAATACATTTCAAAAAGTTTACTAATATGATAAACATGATTTATTGATTATTATCAATAAAAACATCAAGAACAAATTAATATAACTAATAATAATATTGATTATATAATAATGACCGATTGCAAATGATAATAAGAATGATGATATTAAGAGCAATTACAAACAGTAATCAAACTATCCATTAATTACAACAAAAAACAAATAGCAACAGAGTCATAAAATTGTAATTTCATATCTTAATGTAGTACATACTACAATACACATTAATCAACCTTTCCGCTAAGCACCATTGATCCCAATTTCTAACGTAATTATTAAGATGTTGTATTTGATCTTTCTTTTTCTTTGTAAATTTTAATTGATGATTAAATGTGTTCAATAACTAATATACAGTAATGTGAGCTTTTGTGTTTTTAGTACATTTTGATGGTAAAATATTAGATTTTAAAATGCCTATTCCAGAAAGCCCATAAAGTTATTTGGGCGTAATGAACTGTAACCAACGTCTGTTGACAACAGAGAGCGCCATCTGGCGTCGTGACGACATTAATGTGGTACTCTATATGGATAGCAATAAATACTACAAACAAACAAACAAGCAACACATGTTCTGATTGGTCAGTTGTTGAGTGTGACAATCCGAAAAAAGATTTTATGATTAATCGAGTCAACAATTTTAACACATGCATTCTTCTAACATTAAGTTGCAAGAACTACTTTATATCCTAGTAAGCAATTCGAGAGCGACTTGAAATGGACTTCTGCGAAGCTGGACAGCTTTTAATGGCCGTTAACAGTTTACTTCTATACACTACGAGTAATATTGCAGCCTTGCGTTGAAACAATTAACAAAACGACCTACTTTCATTTTCTGCAATGTGGTACTTCCACAATAATGTATAATTTAGAGCTGAACGACCCAAATGTAACCTAGTGTACAGTGATGCTGTAGAAAAATAAACATCCTGAGTTAAGCTTGCTATGATTGGATGTGGTTAACCTTTACAATGCATGGTAATAATAATTATTCATTAAAGCCCCATTGTGAGATAATAGCCAAATAATGAATGTCTATGAGTGCAATGGAAAGAATATTTTCATTCGTTGAAAGATGGACTGTTTCATTCAACGAGGTGAAACGGTCTGGCCTAGCCTAGCCTGGGCCTATCCTTCGCGCAAAACCTAGGCCCTACATCTGCTATATGGCCCTAGGACTAGGCTTTGGCCTAGGCTAGAAATCCGTCCACACATATCGGGAAATAACTGCTGAATTCTGCACAGATTTTGCGCAAATTTGAGCTAATTTTTGAGGTACAGTATCATCCACACTTTTAAAATACTATATTTACAGTAAACCATAACAATTCTCTAAGCAAACAAAATCTCTGACACATTGCACACCACTATTAAGACAAGGGGCGAATTGCTATAGAACGGTCTTAACTGGTATTCTTAACTCCTTGAATAAAGCCGGCTTTATCACTTAGACAGTCTTAATACTAAAGTTAATCCTCTAAGATCATTGCTATAAAACAGTCTTCCCTATTAAGACCGCTTTGAGTATTGAAACGCAAACATGTACTCCCTGGTAACATAAGATTGGGGGCGACGTCATGCATGCTCGACGCACGCAAATGTAGTTCAATAACTAATAAACAGTAATGTGAGCTTTTGTGTTTTTAGTACATTTTGATGGTAAAATATTAGATTTTAAAATGCCTATTCCAGAAAGCACATAAAGTTATTCGGGAGTAATGAACTGTAACCAACGTCTGTTGACAACAGAGAGCGCCATCTGGCGTCGTGACGACATGAATGTGGTACTCTATATGGATAGCAATAAATACTACAAACAAACAAAAAAGCAACACATGTTCTGATTGGTCAGTTATTGAGTGTGACAATCCGAAAAAAGTTTTTATGATTAATCGAGTCAACAATTTTAACACATGCATTCTTCTAACATTAAGTTGCAAGAACTACTTTAGATAGCAATTCGAGAGCGACTTGAAATGGACTTCTGCGAAGTTGGACAGCTTTTAATGGCCGTTAACAGTTTACTTCTATACACTACGAGCAAATGTATTGAAATAAACGTAAATAAATGTAGACCTATTTTTACAGATGCTGAGAAGCGTGCAGAATATTCATCGTTCAAGTCTCCGACTTTGACGATCTAGGTCTAAGTTTTGCCATTGCACTGTTGAATTAATCAGCAGAACGCCATGATCAAATTGATTTAAGACAGTTTTAAGCCTCCTCCGAGTAGGCTTTAAAAGTTAAGACGGCTAACTGGTTCCGCAGTATAGCAATGGTCTATAATCATAGAGAAGTAGTGCCGTCATGATTATAGCCGGCTAACCGTTAAGACAGTCTAAAGATGGCTTGAATCCGCCCAAGTTTAGCAAGTAGATTGAATTCATTTCGTATCCATAGGCAATATGCAGTGGACAATACGGGCGGGAAAAAAGTGGAAGAAAATTTTCATGAGTGATGAAATGGGGGAAATAACTAATGTCACATGTTACGAAATCAACCAATCTAGTGACTGGGTTTTATTTAAGTGTGTTATAATAATGAATAAAATATTATTTTCATTAAACTGTGGAAAAAATGACATACAATGATGATATACATAGAAAACCACAAGAGTTATGCATATGTTAACTCCTAAATAAATAGATCTGCCTACTGAACCAGATGATATTCGATCTAAAACATATTTTATAAACAGACTTTTAAAATTTAAAACAATTTTAAATTTTAAATTTTGGAATTTAAATATGCTTAAAATATGTTTAATTTTTTGAAAATTATTTTGTCAACATTGAGATTTGTCTTATACAAAAGCATGTTTCCTTTTCAGTTTTTGCAATTTCAGATTGTTACATCCTTAAATTTAATTAAGAACCTAACTAAAAATCACAGGCTGTGTTAATTGAAAGCGAAATGGCAGTTCATAGTTTAATTTTTGTTTTATTATTTTTAGTACTAATAATAATTTATTAATTTATATTGTGCAAATTCCATTGCAAATTATGTTCAAATGCGCATTACAATAAATAGATAATACAAATTTAAAATAAAGAGATAGTTAAAATTATGAAGAGCTAAAATTCCTACAGCATATTCCATCATCACAATAAAAGTCAGGCACTTATATAGTAGTAGGCCTACTTGTATATTTTTAGGCTAAGGGCTATTTTAAGCAAATGATTCTTAATCAGTATTAAAGGGAAAAACTATTAGATTATAATGCTGACCTGCTTCAAGTATTTTTTCAACCTTTTATTAGGTGTTTCACTGCTTTGTCGGAAATAACTGATTTCCATAAATTTGCTACACTCCATTCCAGCCAGCAATTTTATATAACACTTGGGACAGATTGAACTAAATGTATGTTCAACCGTCCAGGTTCACTGGGGACAACCAATACAGCTAGCATTGGAAATACTTTAGTTTGGTCAATTTTGTAAAACCATGCCTTAGTATCTAATCCTGTATTATCCCTGATTACCTTTACTTGAACCTGCCTGAATGAAATTAATACTACTATAAATTCCATAATGCATTGCTTTGTCTGGGAATGTTATTTCTAAGGAGAACAATGTCCTTTGTTAACATTACTGAAGGCATATGCTTATTTCTATTACCAATGTATAAAAACATAACAATGATCAAAGATTTCATTTGGTATTCTTAATATAAAAAAATGATATTCCATAATAAAATATATTTATTTATTAGATCAAAAAAAGATGCAAAAGAGAGACTATTGAAATAGTTTAGTCACTACTTTTAATTTTTAATTAATTTTTAATTAAATTTTAATCAATAAGTGTACAATATATTAGGTGTTGAAATTCGTTTTTGTTTAAAAAATACAGGAATAACGAAAGACCAAATTTAAGCCACACAAACAAACTTCAAAAAAATATTATAGTAAGTTTGAAATGACTATATGAAAGTTGAATGTACTATAAGAAAAAAAATACAAGGAAGTCCTAACAACAAAACACAATTCTATACTTATACTGTAGATGAAGGACTGTCAGGTTAAGGAGCAATGGTGAGTGTCCTTGTTCAATCCTGGCAGTAATGATAGTAATGGTCCACCCTAGTGGGACTTGCGGCTCCGTAACCATGATGAAAAGAAAGAGGGTATTACGATAGTCAAAATTACTGCACAATAAGTTAGAGATACAGTTGGTTTTTCAATAAAAAAAAAAGAACCTCATTTTAGATTTTACATCAGCCTCAATTTGTTCTTTACTTGAACCTGCCTGAATGAAATTAATACTACTATAAATTCCATAATGCATTGCTTTGTCTGGGAATGTTATTTCTAAGGAGAACAATGTCCTTTGTTAACATTACTGAAGGCATATGCTTATTTCTATTACCAATGTATAAAAACATAACAATGATCAAAGATTTCATTTGGTATTCTTAATATAAAAAAATGATATTCCATAATAAAATATATTTATTTATTAGATCAAAAAAAGATGCAAAAGAGAGACTATTGAAATAGTTTAGTCACTACTTTTAATTTTTAATTAATTTTTAATTAAATTTTAATCAATAAGTGTACAATATATTAGGTGTTGAAATTCGTTTTTGTTTAAAAAATACAGGAATAACGAAAGACCAAATTTAAGCCACACAAACAAACTTCAAAAAAATATTATAGTAAGTTTGAACTGACTATATGAAAGTTGAATGTACTATAAGAAAAAAAATACAAGGAAGTCCTAACAACGAAACAC